TGGAGGGGGGAGAGGTGGGGGAATGAGTGTCCAAAGTGCCTCTATTGTTGGGGTCGTTGGAGGTGTGAAGGCGAACTGAACTTCAAAAAAAGATTAGACATAAAGAAAATGACTTCAAATCGTGAATGGAAACTACCTGAAATACAGACAGTTAATAAGAAGACTAAATGTGGCATTGTTACACTGAAATATCAGCTTCTTATGCCTCCTCTCTGATGATAGCATCACTGAAGACATTATGTTTTAAGCCTGCATCCTTCCCCTTTTCATGATCAGACTGTCTCAGGAATTTTTTGAAGAAATTTGTTCAGGTTTGGTCCAGCTGTTCATTTATAGCATTTTTTTTTTTTAAAAACTTGCTTTTTAAGCTCATCTGGCTCAAGAACCAATGAGCTTATGCCATGGTAAGGGGTCCATTGATAACCCATCCATTTGTCCAACCACAGCTCATAAGACTCACGCCTCCTGCTAAAGTATTGGTCAGAATTTAAACAAACTTACACACAATGATCACCTAACGGGTCTTTGCCCACTCTCTTCTCAAGATTAATGTCACCTTTGTCCTTTTTACAGGCATTTTAACCTGTTAATTGTCATGAATCTTGAACTGGGTGAGCTACTACTATCATTGATGTTCTGGTTGGATCCAAAACTCAAAAACTGTTACATTTTTCACATAAATGTCTAATAGTATTGAATGATACAGTAATAAAGTAATGGACAAATGTCAAATTTAGTCAAGTTTTTCTGTAAAAACTCTTCTGGTTATTATTCAGGAGCATAACTCTGGAACTTAAGGATACATTACAACCATATTTCAATATTGTTCAGATAACAAACTTTAGAGCCCACCTATTAAATTCTATAATGATCACTACATATGTGAGTCTACAGAGACAGATACTGCAGCATGAGCATCTGGCAGATGAAGGTGAATTTTTAGAAAGGCAATAGCTTAACAGTCCATCAGCTAGTTATATGAAAATTTCTGTGTAATAGTAAAAAACTGATTACATGATGACGGTCATATTCTCAAATATGCAAAGGTAAACTTCACTAATACATATGGCAAAAAAACAACAAAAACAAAACACTCCCTGTTTATTTAGTCTAGGCAATATTTCCAGTTATTTCTGCAGTCTAAGGCATTAAAATGCCCGTGTGGGTTGAGGAAACCCTTATTGAGCTATTCTTGTACACTAGGTGGGCTGGCAGCTGAAAAATCTGGTGAACTTGTTGCGTGGAGATCCTGCAGGTGTCACCCTGACGCTGAAGAAACGCCCCCAGAGCACGCTCACGTCAACCCCTGCTCTGCTGAAAAACATGAGATGGAAACCATTAGCTCTGCAGGTATGATGACTGCCTTCATGCTCCACAGATATAGCTTTCATTCATGTCTCTGTGTGGCTGTTGATGTTGTTCGCTTGTGTTCATCTCTGTGCCTGTGGTGAATATAAACGTACAAAGCTAAACACCAAAAAATGCGATCACCCTAAAATGGGTAGAATATAAAATGAGAGTGTAACATGAATCTGCTTGTAGAGTAGCGTCCAAACTAATCCACTTGACTCCACCCACTTTGTGATCACAACTTTCGACTTTAACACTATTTTTTTTTTATCAATTATTACATGTTTGTAATGCACCTTACAAATCTCAAACACTCTTCTTTTGACTAACTGATGTCCAGCATGATCCATACAGATTTTGACATTTCAGCCCTAAGTGGCATCTGTTGTCCTACTTCAGCCAAACCAATTACAATATTAGGACCGTGTGCCTGCGCCAGAATGGGTGGAAATGAGAGGGACGTGTATTAAAGTAGTCCAGCCTTTCTTTGAGTCCCATTCCAGAGAAAATGTTTTCTCCCCCTGAGGCCCTGAAGCGCAGTGCTGCTCAGCCTCCTCCCCCTTCACGTCCTCACATTCTTCTTCTCCACCTAAATCGAATCTGCTATGTCGCTGGCATTTTTCAGGGGCAAAAAAAAAAGCCAACCAGAGACTGTGGTGTTTTCTGATCTGAGCTGTGACTAAAATTTAAAATGTCAAGGTATTCTGCTAAGTTATTGAAAAGAACATTGCGCAGTGACTCATATAATGGTCTTATGATGGAGCACACAGACCACTCAGTGTTACATCTCAGCTATTGGTCAGCGCTGAGTTTATGCAGCATAGTTTGAGTAATGTCTTATTAGTATTCTATTGTTGAAAAACCTTTTTTTTTGGAAGTCGATGATTTCTTGCGATTGGATTACATTTCTCCGACTATTCAAGTTAAGCTGACGATGTTGCATATTCTTATTCTTACAATACATTCGGCAAATTTGTTTTACATTGTGGTGCTTAAACACAAAGACATGTTTTCTTTAGAAAACAGTCTACTGTACATAACAAGCAAAGTAGGCTACGGCCAGATCCTCCTTGACCTGACTAAGAGGGATGACTAGACCGCACGCCAGCCTCTCTTCCTCTGTGCACCAGTTAGAACTAAAGCATCAGAAACGTACAGTACACAGCTCATTTCATGGTTGAGATGCTCAGCTGCACAGTCTGAACAGAGTGAACGCTCCCGAACTGACTGACTGAACTGCTGTGAGCTCCAAATTTTCATTGTGTCGGTCCCTGTAACTGTTTCTCTCGCTCTTTCTCTCTGTCTGCCTTTTTCTCTGTCTTTCACACATACTCACACATACACATACACTCACTTACACACAGCCAATCTTCCCTCAGAGCCCCAGCAGCAGTGTCGCTACGCCGACCAGCACTTTAAGCACTCCGTCCAGGAGGAGTAGCTGCGCCCTGCAGGACCTCTACATTCCCCCTCCTCCAGCAGAGCCCTACACCCCCAGGTGAACGCAGATGTAAAACACAGAAAACTTTGCTTGCTTTGCAAAAGGTTTCCTACCAGAGTTTTCCGCTCTAAGTGTGACTACAGGGCAGTGTTTTTATGTGCACATTATGTACGACACAGTCATGTTATTTTATTGAGTGAAGGTGTACCGTTGTATCAACAATGGCAGTGAGTGGAGGGGAGTCTGTTTTAAAAGATAGAGGTGAAAAACAATGAAAAATATGTGAAAAAAAGAACAAAAAGGAATGCACAGTTCATATTTTGAGAAATCTTTAATGTAAAACAACCACTGACTCATTAATTACACCTTGCTGGTGCCAGGTTGGACCCATTTGTGCCTTCAGAACTGCGTTAACTCTTCATAGCATGGATTCAACAAAGTGCTGGAAATGTTCCTCAGAGATTTTGGTGCATATTAACTGGATAATATCACACAGTTGTTGCAAACTGCAAATCAGCTGCACATCCATAATTTGAATCTTCCCGTTTCACCACAACCCAAACATGCTCTGTTGGCCTGAGATCTGTTAACTGTGAGTAGTCAAGTCGTTGTCATGTTCAGCAAACCAGTTTGAGATGATTTGAGCTTTGTGATGGGTGGGATTGTGATTGGGTGGTATCCTGCTTAAAGCACCCATCAGAATCATGGTGAGCAACAATACTCAGGTAGTCTATGGTGTTTAAATGAGGCTCAATTGGCACTAAGTGTGCTAAGAAAATATGTCCCACACAATTACACCACCAGCAGTAGCCTGAACTATTAATATAGCATGGTTCCATGCTTTCATGTGAAGTCTGACCCTACTAACTGAGTGTTGCAGCAGAAACTGAGACTCATCAGAGCATCCAATGTTTCTCCAAGTCTTATCCAATTTTGGTGACGCTGTGTGAATCGTAGCTTCAGTTTCCTGTTCTTAGCTGATTGGCAGTGGCAGGATGTTTTGTCTTCTGCTGTTGCCTGTCTACTTCAGGGTTTGATTGACCTCTTCCGCATACCTTGGTTTTTAAAAAGTTGCTATTGGCTCGATGCGCACTGGTCATTTTCCTCTGGCCCCTGACAGAGGAGAATTACATCAATATGGCATTTTCACACAGAGAAGTGGTGCTCCTTGACATTTTCTTTTTTCCGTACCAAATCCCAGCAGATCAGCAGTTTCTGAAATTCTCAGATCATTCTGTGTGGCACCAAACAGCCCTGCCACGTTTAAAGTCACATAAATAATTTCCAATGCTTGGTTGGAACTTCAGCGCGCTCTCTTCACTATGTCTACGTGTCTTAATGCATTAAGTCAAAGCCATGTGTTGGCTGACAAAATGTTAGGTTTCCCCAAGAAAATTGTTTGGCGATTTAAATTTTACCCATCAGTTTGATTTGTCAAAACTTTTCAGCCTAATTTCACCCATTTTTTTTTGCCACTTAGCCACTTTTTTGACAACTTGTAAATACATAAAAAGAGTAAATGATGCCATGCAATGAAATTCACAGGATTACCCATTTTAAATAGGTTAGTTTGCTGCATTCATTGCTATTGAATGATATCAGTCTGAGTTTTCTACTACAATATCTAGCCTAGCTCATTAGCTGTACCCTCTGCTGTTTGGATAAACTCAGCAGGAATGAGTGGGACTAAGAGAGAAAATGAGACAGTGAGAATCTTTGTTTTCCTTTTTGTTTGGTAGCAAATATGATACACAACATTTGGATAAGCTTTACAGTGAAACTTCTGAACATGCAGACAGCTTGTTGCACCTCACGGTGGCTGCAGGTGCTTCTCCCACACTCTTGTCACAAAGTTCCCACAAGAACGGAGCCATGTCACATATTGAAAGGCTCGACTGGTGACACGAGTAATAATTAGTTCCTCCTCAGATTTCAGCTTCTCTCATATGCAAACAACAAACACAGTGCATCGTGTTCTGTGGGTAAAGAAACGCTCTCCTCCGAGAGTCATAGAGAAATCGTGAATTTTTGACTGATGCTTGAAAGCTTTGATTTCCCAGGGTCAGCTCCAACACGCGACTACAGATAATAACTAATAAAGCTACACGATTAGTATTGTTTACCCAGAGATATTTGTTTCTGTGTAATGTTTTACTGAATGTACTGTCCCAAGAGGATGAATCTTACTTACTTTGGATATCCCCAAATGCCAAATCAGGCTGGTGAGCATTATTGAGCTAAATATATGAAGTTTGTATTTGTCCTCAGTGGATGCATGTTAGAAATCTCATGTTAGTGATCACTGTATTTGCAACTGGTTTAAAGAAAGGGAATGTTAGCTACAACAATATGTGTTATGAATTTTAAATCATGAATAAATACCATTAAAATACCTGGACTTGTACCATTAAAACCATCAAAACTGATAATAAATTGACCACTACTGTTGAGAAAAAAAAGGTGTTGAATGGGGAGATGTGCTCCTTATTTTTCCCTGCTGCTATTTCCCTGATTATTTTCCCTGTGCTGTGCTTTGTTTGACTTAATACACGTGTAATTGCGTAAACACTACCTAATACCATAAAAACTAGAGCACAAAATGTGTAGGAATCTGCAGCTGAATATACTCCTGTTTGAGTAATGTTTGTTCAAAACTAAAGTACATTGGCAGTGGAAATGATTTAGCCCCAAGAAATCTAAGTATATACAAAAATATATATCTCCAATGGGGACAGATGGGCTCGGAGCAGAACAACGTCTTCTCTCTGATCTTATTCCAAACCCTGACAATAAAATGACTTCCTGCTTTCTGTTACCGAAGAGATGACAAGGGAAGTCTGCCGGATGATGATCCTCAATCAGATGTCCATGTCGCAGAGGGATCTGAGTCACCAAACTCCTACTTGGATCAGGAGTGTCGAAGGCGATTTCCTCTGGTGGAGGAGGATACTATACTGTACTGTTACGAGTACGACCAGAACCAAGAGGGTGCATCAGTCCGCAGGGGGAGCACGCCCACCTACGGTAAGACCTCTGCCTCATCCGAGGATTCACCGCTGTAATCGTGGGAGCCAAGAATTTAAAGCCGTGCAGATGTGACGTCTTAATGTTTCTAGGTGTTTTTGATTTGTGTGTGTGTGTATGTGCGTGTGTGTCTGTGTGTGGGGGCAGGCTGTGTAATATTGCCGTTCCCTGTGCCTCCTTGCTCTAGGGAGGCTAAGGCCCATATCAATGCCAGTGGAATACAACTGGGTGGGAGACAACGAAGACCTGGCCAAGCTGAAGAGAGAGAGCAGGAGAGGTGAGTGGGAGGCAGTGGGAAAGAGAGAAAAAGAAAGGGAGGAAGAAAGGGACAGAGGAAGCTGAGGTGAGTGGGAGGAGATCTCATAATATCCTCACCCTCTCAGATCTCCCAGCCAAAAAGTAGAAGGATAAGCTGGCCTGTCAAAACTGATAACATGCTGGATATCAGCTCCTGCCTGTATCTCCTCCATATGTTCATTATCTATCACAGCTCTCCCCCCTCTTCATCCCTCTCTCTGTTTCTTTTTCCCTCTCAGCTTCGCCGTGCCTCCGAGTTTGGATATAAAAAGTACGCTGTTGCTTTGGCAACTGTATAAATATATTTTCCTAAGATTTTCACATTTTGCTGGTGACTGTTGAGCTAGGTGGTAAATGGAGTGGGAGGAGACTGAATTGCTTTATTTCAGCCTCAAACAACGACTTGAGTGATGTGTTTGTTTCCTCTGAGGATGCTGCTGATATGTTGCTCCTTTGGGCTTTTCAGAAAAAGTGATGGAGCTATATTTATCTACAAGAGGCAGTATTTGGAAGTTTTGAGGGCTTCCTGCCTGACAACGGCTTCCTTGGTAGATGTTTTAACACTTTTCACATATTTTAAGTGGAAAGTCTTGAACCAAAGTCTTGCCGATAGGCAGCAGATTCGGTGTTTATTGACGTTAGTAAGAGCGTGTCGTTAGGATTTAAGGAAAAAAAAATCAGTTTTGGGTTGTTGTGATGTGTATAATAGTCTGCCTCTGTTGTGTCCCTGCAGAGAATTCTCTGATGCATTTTGAGAGCGAAGACAAGACCTCACACGAAGACTTCCTCCTGGGTCGCAGCCTGAGTCAGAACAGGAGGAAGACCGAGCGAGGAGCCAGCCCGACCCATTACACGCTCGTCCCTGCCCTCCAGATGGAAGTCTCCCGGTCCACGTCTAGCTCTGACTCTGCATCCTTGTATCACGTTAGTCTGTCCTGTCCACGAAAAGTGAAATCATTCTTTGTCAGAATCCACACCGGGATTTATTTCATGGCGTCATGTGTTTTGTTTTAATTTCGCAGGTTTTTGAACGATCCTCATTGCTTTCAAGATCAAAGAAAAAGGGTAAAGGTAGGATCATTTTTCTGGGATTGAATTTTACGTGCATGCTCACTTGTACTCAAATCCTTATATAAGCAGGTGCTTCATAAGTAGAGTTTTCTGAGCCCCCTCCTCTGTTCTGCTCCCCTGCTGGTGCCTGCAGCTGGAAGTCCTCTCACTTCAATCAGCAAACGGCGGATTTCCTGCAGGGACTTGGGTCAGGGCGACTGTCAGGGCTGGCTGTGGAAAAAGAAAGACGCTAAAACCTATTTTTCGCAGAAGTGGAAGAAGTACTGGTTCATCCTGAAAGACACGTGTCTGTACTGGTACATGAATGAGGAGGTGAATATGATCGTTCCCATAAAAGAGCAATTGATACGTTTTAGACTTCATTCTTCAAGCTGAACTTTGAATTGACTCTCTGTTTGCTTATCTCAGGATGAGAAGGCGGAGGGCTTCGTCAGCCTACCAGAGTTTAAGATAGATCGTGCCACTGAATGCAGAAGGAAGTTGTGAGTGCCTGTTTTTACCTGAACACCAAATATGAATGTGCATTTCTTTTGCATTTATGCATGTCACATATTTGCACACAGCCCTATAAACATCAGTTAAGCGGTTATCTTCTGCAAACTGGTTCCTGGCAAGAAAATGGGCTCATTCTTAATGTCTGTTTTGGGCCAGATTTTATCTTTTCACCCGAGAAATGAGCAAAATATGTAATTTGTTTAAGCTTTTCATACAGCTCTATACTGAAAATTTAATGGACTGACCATTCAGAGCGGTGGGATCGAGTGCCTGACTCACAAATAGGCAATATTCTGACAGCACAGCAGATGTTATTTAGTTTAAGATGTTAATTTAAATCTGAAATTATGAAGACAAGAGAGAAATTGCTGAAGCAGCAGCTGTACTAATAGTTTTTGGTATATTATTACAACATGAAATATTACAGTAACAAAGATCTTTAAAAAGTCTGCTGACTGAAAATGTCACTGAAGAAGGGTGTGACACATTTTATGAGTCAAACTTGAAATAATTCCAAGAAATTCTTGTGGGGCTTTTTGGGCCCGGAGTGCTTTCTGGTTACAGATGGAGGGCTGGAAGCGTGATGAGTATGTGCACATGCATTTAGTAATTGAGTAAGAGGGGAAGGCTGTGACGTAGTTGATGATTGGGGCAAAACTGTAAGTTTTAAGATAAAGACAGGCAGATACGAAACACTGCAAACTGTGTGCAGGATTAGAAAATAAGGTGATTTCTATCTTAATTGGAGCATGGCTGCCTCACACAAATTGCGTTTGGTAACATTGCATAATTACCTTCCTTTACTACAGTGGCCTTAATGGAGCTATAGCTTGTACTATGTTTTAGGGAAGAAATTTATTTAGGTTTTTCTGTATAATTAGAAAAATAAATTTAACTTTTGGTTATTTTAAGAGCTATTCTTTCTAATTTTAACTTGAAAGAAAAGAAAATTCTCCAAAATTTTGCTGGTCTAGACCAGGGATGTCAAATGACTCCAATACAGCCCACTGAACAGCTTTGGAAACTGTTAAGCAGGGCGTAAGTTTTACAGCTTTTCCTACTGATAAATACCTTGCCCATGACTATTTATGTTACACCAACATTTCTACAATTGGCCCACAGTAACAAAACAAGCTAACTTAATTAATAAATAAATAAATAAAACATTTTCAGTCAGTCAACAAAAATAATACATCCTTTATGTTTGTTTTTAATGTTTTTGAATGAGAGGACTGTCTAGTCAGTGTGCTACCAGAAAAAAATAGTAAATTTACATATTTATTTCTTATAATTTAAGCCCAAACAGTCTTCCTGAGAGATTTCTGGCACTTGTTTTTCTTATATTACTTTATATTATATTTGAATATAAAAGGCCTTGGGGTGACTGTTGTTTTGAACTGGTGACAAATCAACATTTGAATTAAATTGGATATTTATTTATCAGGGAATTAATGTGTAGTTAAGTTTACTAATTGAAGTGTAGTTAAATGTTTCAGTGGTTTGGCTCACTTAAGATCAAATTTGGCTGCATTTGGCTCACGGACCATTTACAACAGTCGAAATGATGTTTTGCTGCGGTTTACTGTGAGCTTAAAGAGGAGTTAGGAGTGAAGGATTAGATGGGTTTTGTCATAGTGGTACAGTAGGTACAATGGTTGCCTCATGGTCGAGTTTGAATCTGCTAGATAGCTGGTGCCTTTCTGTGTAGAGTCTACATGTTCTCCTGGTGCCTGCATGGGTTCTCACTGGGTATACTGGCTTCCTCCCACAGTCTAGACATGTGAGATTAATTGGCAATTCCAAATTGGCCATAGGGGTAAACCTGAGCATGAATAGGCGGTTGTCTGTCTCTCTGGAGTTGCACTGTGACAGGCAACCTCTGCAGGGTGCCCCCTGCATGTCACCGAGTGATAGCTGGGATATTCTCTAACGCCCACAACCACGAATGAGATAAACAGAAGGATGTATGACTTGATGAGTTGCTGTTCAGTACTGAGTTAAACAACAGGAATATTACAGGGTTCGGAGTTGTGTTTAATAATTATGGCTCTATCTTAATTATTTATCTTAATGATTCCCTTCAGCTTTTGGGTTGAAGACTGTGACTGTATATAAATGGAATCATACTTCATGAGGCTGACTCCAACTTGTGCAACTCCCCAAAATAATCAAAGCGCTTTATCTCATGACGCGCAGTCTTGCTGTTTTGGTGTCAGCATGAATCAGTATATGCACGGCCATGTGTCGGTTTATTTTTCCAGTCGACAGCATTCACATGGAAATGCGAGCCATACGTTGCTGTCCTTCTGCTTACGTGTGATTAAATATGTCCCTTTTAGTGCTTTCAAGGCTTGCCATCCGAAGATAAAGACCTTCTACTTTGCTGCGGAAAATGTAGACGACATGTCCCGGTGAGTTAATGAGGCTTTTATAGCCGTATTGCACACTCCCCAAACATTTAAACCCATACTGTCTGCAAACTGAATCCCCCTACTAATAGACTGCCCTCTCTGTTTGAAACAAAGTAGTTTTGTAAGTTTATTAGTCAAACAGTTGAACACACACACGCACACACACACTGGTATGAGATGTTTCATTGGATGTTGAATTGCTGTGCGTCAGTGCTGTTGTTCTCCCCCACAGGTGGCTTAGTCGTCTCAGTATGGCAGTGGCAGGCTACTCTGAGCAGCAGGAGAAAATGCGCCAAGACCAAGGTGAGATTAGTCACAGTCTGTGTTCACGGTGCTGCAAGAATTTCTTCAGCTGTTACAGGTCAACAGTTATATAAAACTGATGATTTCTAAGCAGTGGGGCGTCACGCTGTTGCTTTTCGATTGAGGAATTACGTACATAAAAGTTGAAACAAATGCGTGAATAATTATTTTGCCTAGTCTTCATTTGGCAGAGGTTTTGATTTGCTGTCAGAGGCTCACAGCAGTAATTAAGCTCCTGTCTTTACTGTTTACAACTGGAGGTGCAACAACTTTTGCACCACAAATGGACAAAACTGGTTGTTCCAACATTAACGTTTCTTTAAAAAAAGTGACTGTAGAGATGACTCCATTTAAATTCTTGCTTCTTTAGTTCGGTTCACTTGCTTTAAAGTAAAGACTTCTTTGTCTGAATCTTTCCACTGGGAGATGAGCTCATTAATTATTTATTTGACTGTCAAAGTTTAGAAGAATTACAAGGAAATAAATTGGGTATTTGAAAATTATAACTTGGCTCAGAGTAAATTTGATGCTATGGCCTGGAAAAACAAGACCAGATGCAGAGGATTCAATATACAGATTTAGATCAGCAGCAGAGGCGTTGTACTTCCGCTTTACATCAGATTCAAGAATCGCTTCGTCGTGCTGAGTATAAATAGTAATTTTAAGGGGCTGAATAACTTCTTAAGCTTCTTAAAGATGGACCGGAAATAATGTAACTAACCCTTGCGCTATTTAGAGGAGCCTACGTAGGAACCTTGCATGGGTGGGTGGGTGAGAGCAGGTTTATCACGAGCTTCATGAAAACAGGGTCTTTTGCTTTACAGAAGAGTTTCTAAATTAGAACCATAACACCTCCAGAAGACCTATAAGGAAGTTCTCACATCTTAGATTCATCCTTTTTCACACTCCAGAGTGGACCCGGACTTGTACATCACACCTACCCATCCACACTCCTGCCACAGTACCCTTGTCAGAGCTGTTAGTCAGAGTTAGATTTTTCCGACCTTATGCAGGTGTTCAGATTGCAAACTGTATGCGTGTGAGAAAAGTTACCCCTTTCTGCTGCATGTAGAAACAGTTGATTTTGCTTGAGCCTAGAAGTATTAACTCAACAGCACTTTTGTACATGACAGATTACTGGAGTGAGAGTGATCATGAGGACATGGAAATGCCCTCAATGTCCAAACAGGACAGTCCACCACCACCTTATGACACCTATCCCAGAGCATCCTCAGTGAGTCTGTCAGCCTGTAGTTCAGAAATTTATGGTTGATTTACTGAATTTTCCTCAGTGGCACACCTCCCTTATTTTTCTTACATCTGTTTGTAATTAGGTGAGTCCTTACCTTGAACCGAAACGCGGGCATCTCTCCTCCTCCGACACCTTTCAGTCTCGTTCTTCTCACGAGGAGTTCCGCTCGGAGCCTCAGGAAGGCAGCAGCAACAATGGCATCTCCCCCGGGCCAAAGACGAGCAGCCATCGAAACTCGTGGCACGACCAGATGGAAAGCAACACACGGATGCACTACCTCCAGACATTTCCCATGGAGGAATCCTTGTTATCCCAGGACAGGGACCAGTTGGCGATGGAGTACCGCAGGCAGGCCACTCTGCCTGCACAGCGCAGTCTGCTGCAGGAACAGTACAGAGCCCTGCCCTTGCCCCTCAGGGCCAGTATTGATTCAGAGGTAGGAGGGAAACCTCGCAGCTTCACACTTCCCAGGGACAGCGGCCTCCATGCTATCCTGGCTGCCACTGCTGCTTCTGATCAGGGGGAACCGCAGCACTATCCACTGGACCGGTCCAGGGATGCAGGTCAGATTCCTTATATGAATTTTCAGATTTACTACAGTATGCTGCCTGTCATGAGAAGCCAAACAGTTGCAGTCTTCTTTTTTGTATTTATTTTATAACATTTTTACAGGATTTGAATTCACCAAAGCCCCTTATGATTTAATAACACTATTAGGCTATAAAGCAATAGCAACATGCTGCTATGGCTAATGTAATCACAATTGTAATCACAGTGTCCCCAACAAGTCTTATTTAATCACTGTTTTGGAAACTTTTCTGGGACAAGTAAAACGCTTCTCTAAGTGGGCTTTTTATTTATATATTTCATGTTACAGAACCAAATGTCTAAACCCCGTATTCATCCAAGACCTTACTTCCAGCATCAAACCAACATCCTATTCCAAAGTGACCATGGATGAGGGAATGAGATGTGCAAACTGTAAAATCCTGCTGCACTCTATAGCTAACAGAAAAACTAATAAAATAATTATTTTCCTAAAAACTGTTTAATGATGGATTTTTGGGCTATATACCAATAAAGCTTAGGCCTCAGTCACACAGCTGGTAACCCTCTACAGGTTGCTAGAGAATGATATGATTGGCAGGTGGTTGCTTCTAGTTGCTAGGAGGGCACTGCAACAAAAAAAGTCCTTGTGATTGCTTTGCTTATTGGTAGATTGCCGCTGCTGCCCACAGTCTGCATGGAAGATATTGATTTATCTCTTAATACTAGAAACTGATTGGTAGTGAAACTGAAAAGTGCAACGCAAGCTGCCTTCAGACTATTGCCTGCCTCACTGCTGCAGGTAATATGGTTCAAAAGGCAGGGCAGTGGAACTGCAGTGGTTTGCAGCGCTGCCTCACAGCAAGAAGGTTGTGGGTTTGAGTCCACTGGCCGGACGGGGCCCTCCTACTTTTAGTTTGCATGTTTTCACTGTGCATGCTTTGGCCTCTCTGTCCAATTTGTTGGGTAATTCATGACTGTGAAAAAACTTGGCTGAATCTGTGCGTTAGCCCAGACTGGCGATCTGTTCAGGTGCTACGTCACTTCTCATCCTATGACAGCTGGGATAGGCTGTGACCCCACTGAACTCCACCCTGAATTGGTTAAAATGAATGAAATCTATGGATGGGTTGAAGTATTCACATATGCTTGGCAAGATTTTTTTCGTTATTAGCACAAGTTGACATTCTTCTCACAAATTTGAGGCATATTGCTTCGATTTAGACAGTCAGGCACCACCTCTTACAATAAACAATGCTATAATCACCGTGTCTGCTGTATTCAAGAGAGGTCAACAACAATATCCACTTACGTTTAATCGAAAGCGTTAAATACCTCTGAACTGAAAATCAGTTCAGATTAACACATTTGGAGCCTGACAGGTGGCTGCCATGAAGAGCTCCTAGAACTAATCTGACAGTTTTGTGGGGGTACAAAAATGTTGAGGTAGAGATGAAGACGTCGCACACTTAACAGCATCACTGAATGGTCCTGCTGTGAGAGCCTCTCCTGCTCAGTGTTATATGCAGATCAGTCTTTTCATCAGCACACGGCTGTGCAAATGCGCTTATTTGTCATCATTTATTTTATTAAAGCTGTTAACAGGCAGTCAGAGCCAGCAAATGTCAGAGGTTGAATACTCGCTATTATTGCTTTATTGGATTGGATTTAAAGCCAGCCCATTCGCCATCCCTTGAAGTCCTCCGGGGAAGTTGTCTAAGTGAAACGAAATTTAGTCTTATTTGATACTGATTTATCTTGGCAGCCCACTCTCTTTTTCTCTCTAGCACACTCTCTAGCTCAGTCTTTCGCTTTCTCTCTCTCCTTTTTCCCTCTTGCCTGATCGAGATGTTGTCGTGCCTCTCGGCGGTGTTTGGATGGCGAGGCGAGGAGGAATCCTTTCAGCCCAAGTTAATGTTGAATTCAGAATGGGATAAAGAAGCTCGCCCAAGGCCCCTCTCTTCTTGTCCTCATTTATCTATTGCTCCGTGGGTTCGGTCTCTCCACCACTTCCAATAGGGATGAGAAAGCAGACACAAAACAGGCGGCAAACAAAGCGCGATACATTTCAAAGCACAGCCCAAAAGCCTCAGAATGTACCACCCTGCTTCCAAAATACAAAACAGTGTGTGACAACTCACATAATCAGAGCCCGAGTGCAGTGTATGAGTGTTGGCAACAGGGGGCAGTGCATGAAAACAGGAGACAAATGGGGTTTGGGTAGCTTATTAGAATAATGCATGAGATTCCAGTTTCCTAGGTTTAAGGTCCTTTTTCTTCCTTTATTGCTGTCTGAAGAAAAAAAGCACAAATAATACATGTAGCTCTGACTAATGTCTTAAAAACAAAAGAAATGTTTGCTCATCTCGGGAGACGTCCATAGGCTACATAATTAGTCAATAGGCTAATCAGTAAAAAATGAAAACTAGAATTGATTCATCCAATTAGCAAAATGTTTTTTTTTTAATCACTCTAGGGGAGCATTGTTAGAGGGTGTGAAAAGGTAACAAATCTCAGTTTCGACTTTAGTTTACTAATATATGTTTTTTGGTGCATTTTGTGTCTTGCCAGGCCATGGACGTGACTGCAGGATGCAGACGGACTCTCTGGTGGATTTGTACCGTGCCCTGGAGCAGACAAACCTGTCTGATCACAGACCAGCCAACCGCCTGGAATACAAGCGCTCGTTTGTCCGCCGAGTTAACGACCCCCTGCTGAATGACAAACTTCACCGCTTACGAATTCTCCACAGTTCACTCAATGTATAACAACACATTTAAGCATGAATTATTGTTTTATAAACGAGTTGCATTTGCTGATTTCTGATTCGTGCTTTTATTTTCTTGCAGAACGTCCCCCTTCAAGACACAAATCGATCGTTGGGTTTTTTAGGGTAGCCTGTTGAGAATCGGTGTGGCGGTGACAACTAAGCTATAACACCTCTGTCTGCACTTCACACAGCTGGTGTCCCAGTGACAGAAATGAAAGGCACCAAAAACCATTGTTTACCTTCTTGGTTCTCCATCTCCTCTCCTTTACAACACCTTCAACTGCAGTCCACTTGCAGGAGCACAAAGACTCGCTATCCCTATTTGCCTCATCGCTTTCTTTTTAGGATGAGGGCTTTAACAAAAGGCAAAAAAAGATGCCTGGCTTGATGAAATAAGTTATAGGCCCCCAGGGTTTATGGCAAATAAGCACTTTGATTCCATGTCAGAAATTTGTCAGAGAGGTTTTTAAATCATTGCTCAAGTGCATGGCCACGTCCCTTTGCTTCTGTTGAGTTGTTTGAACATTATGCTGGAGTTGTGTGCAGCTGCTCATTGTGCACAACATTTGGTTATGCATGTGTGTTTGATTCATGGGTATGTTTGTTGTACGAGTGTACAGGATGCTATATATATATATATATATATATATACACAGATATTATGATATTACATTACAGCAAAAGTGACTACACGGTGTTTTGGGTTACTTATACAAATTGTAAATCAAGTGCTGTGCCTCAGTGATAGTGAATGTACATTGTACTTTTCCAAGAGAGGTCAGAGAAGACACAGAACGCAAGCTATCCCTCAAACCAGAGGCACAAAAATAAAAGGCTTGGCAATAATGAACTCGTATTGTAAATTACAGATGAACGATCAGAATAGTCGTCTATTTTTGTATGCATGCTGTCTACCTGATTGTTTGTAAGACATTTTCTCCACCCCTCGGCTCACCCGCAGTCCCTTACTCACCCCCACACACACTCATGCACACAAGCGGCACAGTGTATTTTTAATTCTTATACAAACGGCCCCAGAAAATTGAATCATTTTCTTTCTGATTGTGCGCCGTAAAAAGCAGAATAACCGTATTTATTAAGTGTTTAATGTGCAAGCATGCTTTGTAAGACTAAAACATTGTACCCAGCCATGTGACTCACATATCACACCTGTGCCATATTGTAGCTGCATATTTTTTTTTTAAATAAAGTACATACATGAGAACCTCTGCTGAGTGTTTTTCTTTCTTTTTCTACTTCCCTCAGTAATGATGAGGCTGCTCAATTTACATGAAACTTCAGGTTTTCTCATAATATATAATTAATGGAACACGTGGGAATAGTGCTCTGTTTAGTGCAGGTATAACTGTTTATTTAGGTATGCTACTACTGGTCTAAAGAGGAGAAAAAGCCTTTGTAGAAGCAGCACTGCTCGGCACTGTACGTGTGCCCATTGTGAATCTCTGCATGACAGTTGGTAGGAAAATCCAGTGTCATTACACATAACTTTGTTGACAAAAAATCAGTCAACCTCCACAAGGCACAGAAAAAAGACAGCCTTTAATTTTCTGCCACGTCCTTCTGCAGATGCCAGGTACTCCATCCCACTGTGTTTGTGTAGCCAAGGTATTGCACTATGGCCATATGGAGATATTCAAATGGGACTTGTGATTGAATTGTAGTTGAAGCTAACAGAGAGTGGAAGAGAATACCCCAAATTGAATTGCCAGGTTTCACACTGCCTCATAGGTGTAAATAGTAATGACTTTTTTGTTGTTGCTATGATGTATATTGCATTTATTCTGCATGAATTAGAGTAATGTTGCAAGTACAAATTTTGCTGCTACCGACTGGAAATTAAGGAGCGGTCCCACAAATATTACCCCACGATTATACTTAGTAATATTCTTGTTACTGTGTCAAAACACACATGATTAAATGCATTTTTCTTATATCATCTTCCATATTAAAATGTTTGGTTCATACCAAGAAACCCTCATTATGTGTTTTCCTTATTAATAATCCTCTGTGTCTACAATCTGTATTTTATACATTACATTACACATGCAACACAACCACAATTGCATGCAGACAATATTTACTTCACCAGATTTCAGCACAAACGTCTCAGTGTCATAAAATCAAACTTGTAATTCTCATTTAGATGCCTTTTCCCCAGTGTATCCCCCTTTAGAACATCAGAGGTAATAACCTGTGTTTACACAGCGGGATCATTTATTCTCCAGGTACTTCTAACAGGTCAGCTTTGCTTTCATCTCACTCTCATTGTAAAGGAGGTCATAATCGTATCCAGATAAATAGAAAATACTGGCTGCTAATAAGACTCATCATCCATTCACAGGAGTTCTTATTTATTTGTTTGTTTGCTACATTTAAAAAACAGTGCTAAAGACAGATATAGGATAAAACAGACTGAACAGAAAATTTAAATCATAGTGCTGACACGTGTTAAAACAATGCAACCGTTTGTGATGTGAACAATTGAGCTATTTGCTCTAAACTCTGACAAGATGAGCTGAACTAAATTTCTAAGTCCAATGCTTCTGTTATTAGGTTAGGCCAAAACCGAGTCACAAAAAAGGTCTACACACACATATTCACTCACAGGGTCTTGGACTTCATATATTTGGGGATATTAGCCAAAGTATTACAACATAACTTCCTCTGTGCCTTAATTGCATGTATCCATTTTGTATTTTCTAAGCAGTTACAAAGTTAGTAATTTGTGATCATCAGATTTTGGATAAAATAGATAGATACTCCTAAAAGTGTATGAGGAAAAATACTGCAATTCCAGCCCAATAACACAGGAATTACACTGCATAATTGCAGGCATCTTAACAAAAATGTTGCGACAGCTGCGATGAGGCTCAGGATTCATCCAGGGAAGGGCTGTGTTACTGCAAACAATTCCATGCAAAAATTTTCCATTTACAAAATGAGAAACATGCAAACAGTGAAAACAAAACTCTATTCATACGTGCAGACTCAGCCAGACGTTACATCCCAGCCAAAATGACTCACATATTTTCTAATTCAGTACTCTCTGTTCATGCGGCATCTATTCTGAGCTGCGTCAGGAAGCTTTGTTAATCATATTTGGGCCTGAGAAAGTTCATTTACGAATGCTTTTGTTGTCACATTGGCCTGTAGTGAGCTCTGTGTTCAATGCCTAACCATTTTTGCCAGTGATTCACCACCATTTGCAGTCAATCTTCAGTTTGAACTTATACCCACTCAGGTCTAACTTGACAAAGTTACAGAAACTAAAAATAGTGGCAAAAATGTGTTTTTTAAACGCATTTTTGTTAACGCGGACAGATTTGATATGGAGTTTTTTCTTCAAGCATTTCGGCAGCACTTCTTCCACGTAGTAGAATCAGGCCTTTAATCTCCTTGAATCCACTCTAAGCCTTTAAGTACTTGGTAATATCCTCTTAACGTGACATAGGTGTTATCAACTTGATTTAATGAATGTGCATGACTAGCAATGGCCAGGCTAATAGAACAGACTATCCCCCCTACAATTGGCTTCGCCTTGTTAATTCTTTTTTGTTTCTTTTACTTCATGGTCTGAATAATGCTTCATCTGGAGAAAAAATGCACACAGAAGAAAGATTTGTGAAAAAAGAGTGCATCAAATTCGCTGCAGCAATTTAAAAGTGAATTAACAGCAAATTTAAAAAGACCCATGGAGATAGGCAAACAAGAAACTACCTTTGATTTGATTTGATTTGATTTTACTTCAAGTTTTGAAGGTGAAGCTTTTAAACTTTCCATCTCAGTTAAAATGATAAAAATTACATTATGATTTCAGAGTTTATTTAACAGAAAAATGCACACCTACGAGAAATTGTTGTATCATTTACCAATTACATTATTAACCCCCCCTAACACATGGTTATGAAATGGGAAGTCATGCAAATATGAAAAGATTTATAAATCAGCTTTCATCTGACTAAAGGTCACAGACGGATAAATATCCATTTGGCCAGATGAGAGATAAAAGAGAAACATTCTCATTATAGTTTTTTAATCTCTAACAATTATTGCCAAAGCAATGCATATCAGATCCTAACCCACAGTCAGTGTCTTTGCTAGCACTGTTGTCATGACTTTGTTTTTAATAAACAGTTTCATTATGCAACCTCTCACTGTCTGAGTGCCGAGTCCATATAGCACTGGGTTGGCAATGGGTGGAATGATGATAAAGTATAAAGACAGGAAGATCTGTGCTTCGACAGCCACATGACTCATGTTAAATCTGGTCTGGATTACTTCAAAAAGGGAAGCAATAGTGTAGTTCAACAAAGACAACAAGTGTGGGACACACGTTCTAAAAGCATTGGCTTGAGATTCTTTTGGAAATGTCCTACATACTCTTAAAATGTGTGTGTAAGAGAAAACTATCATCACTAATTGGGGGACTATAAAAAGAACAAGAATTGCAAGTCCTACAGTGCTTATGTACTGTGCATTTGTGCATGAATTTTTGACCAGTTCCATGTTCACACAGTACAATTTTGGTATGACTTTTCCACAGAAGCGAAGCTGTAAGGTAAGGGAGTAAAAAGATGTAAAAACAATAAATGGGTATAGACCTGTAAATGCAATGAGCTTGCATGTTTTTGAATAAGACATGATGCTGTAGTAATGGAGTGGGGAACATATTGCAATATATCTGTCATATCCCATAAGAGCTAAAATGCAGAACTCCCCACTTGCATATGTGTGCAGGAAATAAGCCTGAGCCATGCACCACTTCACGGTCACGTCGTGCGTTTTTGATACGAGCACAGCCATGACTGCAGGTAACAAAGCGCTGCTGCCGTAGATTTCATTAAGGGACAGCATGCAGGTGAACACGTTCATAGGCTGATGCAGCTGTTTGTTTTGGTGTATAACAGAAATGAGTAGTACATTCAAAACAAGGGTAATGAGGTAGAGCAGGAAAAATACACTAAACAGCCCATGATTGTAGTTTTCCATGACAGCATACGCAGTCATTTTGAATGTTGCTGCAGTTGTGTTGTCCATGTTTCAGTTCAGTTCTGAAAAGAAAAAAAAACATGAACTTCAAAATAAATATATGACATATTAATGACACATAAAATACACACTGGACACAGTAAAAGATATCAGCATAATCGATTATTTCTAAAGTGTTCAATCATGTGACTGATATATTGATTTATTGATTTAATGGTGCTGAGTTTAACCTAGATTTGCCACTGAAGTTCATAGTTATAAAGCATGTGAAGCGTTTGAGTAGCAGGTACAATCTGTACAGTTACAGGTTCAGTGAGCAGGAATATACAGAGCATTTAGAAGCTATTTTGAGCCTACTGTACCTGTTTCTCCTCCTCTCCTTACTGCAGAGTGCGCTGCTTAAGTGGGCAGCCTTTTATCGCAGCTCAGGGTGGGTTAGTGGTGTGCTGATCTCTCCTGTTACCATGGTGAAAAAAAAACGTCCCTCTGCTTCACAAACCCCTTTCAACTGTCCTTTCCTCCTATGCACATAATATAAATACCATAAAGGTCTTGCAAATAGATATAGATATTAAATGACTAATCGATACATCCACTGGAGACTGGACATTTCATTTAAAAGCTTTTAGTGCTTGACATTTATTTCCATTCTGCTGTATTTTACATTTATGCTGCATTTTCTTGAAAACACATAAACGTAGCTTGCTGAAGTCTTAATTCTTACTTGCGTTGCTCAATCATTCGCCATGAATCATTTGTCGGCCTGATTAAATGAAGCCGTTTGACAGTTAAAAGTATTGTTAATTTCCCAAATTTGACCTATAAGCAGTAGACAACCTAACACACATGTGTTTGTGTGTATGTGTGTGTATGGTTGCTATAGCCTGATATTATACACTCACTTATGCTCATGCATGTACACAAGGACATGACTGCTAAAGTTCAAACCAAGCATCAGAATGGGGAAGAAAGGTGATTTATGTAACTTTGAATGTGACGTGGTTGCTGGTAGACAAGCTGTTCTGAGGATTTCAGAAGCTGCTGAACTACTTTTACCACACAACCATCTCCAGGGTTGACAGAAAAAAGAAGGGCTGGGTGAAAATGTCTTGTTGATGTCAAAGGTCAGAGGGGAATGGGAAGACTGCCTAGAGCTGATAGGAAGCCAACAGTAATTCAAATAAACACTCTTTACAAGCAAGGTATGCAGAAAAGCATCTCTGAATGCACCACATGTCTGGGCTACAGCAGCAGAAGACCACACCAGGTGTCACTCCTGTCAGCTAAGAGCACGAAACTGAAGCTTTTCTGTTAATCAAATTTGGTAAGAGTGTGTTTGTGTGTTTGCTGATAGGGTCTGTACGTTTTCTAGGCTCCTAGACAGCTTTAATGCTATAAGAGACTGGACAGGGAGAGAGAAAAAGATCTCCAACAAGTCAACACTTAGTAGATGGAGTTTTGGACTGGTGCCCCTGTGACCATGCAGCACTATTATCCCCGTTCTAGTTTTGATCAGTGCATGTCCTCTGGTGCACACATTAAGCAGCTTCACCACTTTCTATCAAAGAATCACAATGAAAGTAAGTGTAGATTCAAAAGAATATGAGAAATGTTCGTGCATGCCTTGAGCTCTTCTTATAATATCAGAGTTCACATTTCTCTTTACTTACCAAGTCAGCCCTTGGGTAGAATTGGCAGAATGCTGCTGCTAGACTACTTACTAGTTCAAACACATATCACCCCACTATTATTTTTCCACCAGCGCCGGGTCGTGCCAGAATCCAGATCAAATTTCCCCCTTACATACAGAGAAATAAAAAGTTTGGCTCCTGCATATGAAGCTCAGAGCCACTCATCACCTTAAATTTTGCATTGCCTTTAATTCCAGCATTCTGTGCTCTAAGGTTTAGTAAAGGTCCCCAGTGCCCAAGAACCAGACAAAAACTAATAGCAAAACAGGCCTCAGTG